AAGACTCATTCTCACTTTATTGGGCTATGTTGTTGGGTTGTTTTTCAATATTCATTGCTTTGGGGGGCAACCATTTTAGAAATCTTCTAAGGAAATCCTATCATTTAATTAGACACATTACAAAAAATGATTATGCTGTAGGTACTAGTTGGTGGGAGGTTGTTGAAGATGGAAATCATAGAGTGAACCTAAGAACGTGGCTATTATTACACTAGAAAGGTCAGGGGTTGCTGTTTCCAGCTGATTAAATGAATTGCACAGCAACTGGGGAAAGGAGTACAATCCTTAGCAATTTTTCTTTTTCATAGATCCACACGCACTGCTGTATTAGTTGCCATTGAATTGGCTTTGACTCATAGCCACATCATGAATAAATGGACCCAAACAATTCCCGGTCCTGCGCCATCTTCACAATTGTGGATATGTTTGAGCCCGTCGTTACAGTGATTGTGTCTGACTATCTCAGGGAGGCTGACTCTCATTTTTGCTACCGCGCTCCCCCATCACACCTTTACTTTAGCAAGCATGATGTTCTGTTTAATGAGTGGTCTTTCCTGCTGTCCTGTCCTAGTTTAAAAGATTTTTTTATCCAACGTAAACAAGATGAAGTCTCATCACCCTTTATTCTGGCTGTACCTCTTGCAAGACAGATGTGCTTCTCCTCCGGCTGTCCACAGTGTATTCGGTATTCTCTGCCAGTACGGCAGTTCAAGCCCTCCAGTCCTCCACTTTTACAGTCCAGCTTTCACCTCCACATGAAGAGACGGAAAATACTATTGCTTGGGTCAGGCACACCTTACTCTCCAGGTCATTTTTGTTTTTTAGTGCAGTGATATCTCGGGTGTGGAATGGCTCCAAGCTCCAAATTTCCACTACTCGAACAGCAAAGTTCAAAAAAGAGCTCCTTGATGTTCATAAGTCTGCTAGATAGCTGAACTGAAAACCTGCCTTGAAAGAACCTGTACAGGCAATGAATGTACAAATGCGCTTTACACAATTGATGTATGTATGGATTGTGATAAGAGTTGTCTGGGCCCCTAATGAAATGATTACATAAAAAAAAAAGATAAACTAAAATTTTTTAAAAAAGAAAAAATCTGTACAAGTCAAGAGTGAGACATGTGTCTTGTCTCGCCACGGACACTAAGCAACGCTCTAGCTCAGACAACACACAGTGCTTGTGTTAGTGCATTAAAACATTTATCATTGTGCTTCTTCTTCTTTTTTTTTTTTAACTTTCTTTTCATAGACTATCATAACCATGGCTCCAAAGAAAGTTAGTGATACCAGCAATAAAGCTAAGGGGGAAACTGTGAGAAACACGATAGAGTTAAAGAAAGAAATCATTGTGAAAGTTGAATCAAGTTGTTGCTTGTCTGACTTGGCAGCAGAATACAACATGGCTAAGTTGCCATTATCAACATTTTTGAGGGAAAAAAAGAAAAGAAGTGATTAAAGCAACTAATGAAGCAAAGGATGTGAAACCGTTAACCATGAAACAAAGAACCGAGACCACTGAAGAAGTTGAGAAGTTACTGTTAGTTTGGATAAATCAGAAACAACTTGATAATGATAGCATAGCCTAGACAGAGATATGCAAGAAGGCTGAAGGCCTTCACAGTGATTTGCAGTCCTGGGAAATGAATTTATAAGTTTAATTTGGAGGCCTCAGAATCAATTACTTTGTTTTCCATTATTTTTTATGGGAAATATATGTTTAGTTCTCAAGCTTTTCAGTGTTCAAACATGAATTTGGAATGAATTGAGTTTGACAACTGAGGTATCCCTATACTTTAAAGAGTATTTTTTTTAAATCATTTTATTGGGAGCTCTTACAGATATCATAAATTCCATAGTTCAAATACATCGAGCAGTATTGTACAATTGCTACTACAATCAGTTTCAAACATTTTCTTTCTTCTTAAATTCCTTGATATCAACTCCCCTTTGTCCCTTCCCTCCCCTACCATACCACCAGGAACCCTTATTTTATTTTATTTTTATTTTTGCCATATCTTACACAATCCAATATATCCATTCATATACAATTCTGTTCTTCAACTGAGTGTGGGGTTATGCAGTCATCAATGCTATCAGCTCCCCATTTCTCCATTCCCCCTTCCTCCTCTCTTCCTATACCCTCAGGGAACCATTACTCCTGTTACTGTCTCTGAAGGGTTATCCATCTTGACTTTCATTTACTGAATGATCTTAAATATACAAATGAACATTTGCAAGTATAACATGATTAATGAGGGAAAACAAACTATAATAAGGAGAGGAAATACTAAAGAACTAGAAGATAGTTACATGATTTATCATTGCCATACTGCACCTTGGATTTATCATCCCTTCCAAAGGCAGGGGGGTTTTTGATCCCCTTTTTTCAAAACCATGTTTGAAAGCAGTGAAGGTGATGTTGTTGTTGTTGTTGTTTTTGACACATTATGCATAGAATGGGGCATGACTTTCTCAGTTAAAGAGTTCTTTTATATACATTTTCCCAACGCAATGCCTCCTTGGATTTCTTGACTGCTTCTTTCATGGGTGTTGATTGTTGATCCAAGGAGAATAAAATTCTTGTCAACTTCAAGTTATTTGCCATTTATCATGGTGTTTATTGATCCAGTTGGTGAAAATTCACACTTTCTTTATAGAAAACTTTGTGGAAAGCAATTTCACTGATAAGCCAGATAAGAGGCTATTTCTCCAAACACCAGCTAGTCTCTACCATTGTGTGATAGTGCTGATCCACAGTGCAGAGATGAGATGTACAGAGTGAGCAGGGGTTCTCATCCGAGTGCATCCAGTATATCAGCTGCTTGTATGGCTTTGAGGATTAAAGCTCTCACATGATCTGTCCCTCTTGCCCAGAGACAAAACTTTTAACTAGGTTTTCTTCCTCCAAGTTATATATTCCTAGTTGTGAATGTTTATTTCTCACCCATTTATAACACCAGTTTCAGTGTCTACTGAGGAAAAGAAACTGAACATTTTAAAGATAGGATAACTACATGAGTTTTAATCCCAAGGAAGCCCACCCATTTCAGTGGGATTTACTCCCAGGAAAGCATTGAAGGAACTAAGGAGTCTGTGCCTATAACAAGAACCTGGGGAACGTGAAGTCAAGCCATAGCTGTGGCTGTGAGCTGATCATCACAGCAGTGATCCAGGCTTTGTTCTAGAATCTTTGAAGTTGTCGGTGCCTCTTGCTGCCGCAGATTGCCCACAGTGAAAGGGCCGTGGAACTACCCTGCTACACCCTAGAAGTAAACAAGCAGGCTCTCCACAGTGTTCCTCCAACACTGTGTTCATCTATAGCCTATCTGACCAGCCTATTGTGGAAAAACAGGAGCAGTTTCCTTCATCCCTAAAAGCCCTCACACCTGCCTGATGAGTCACTGCTTTCTCAGATAAAACCAACTTTTTCCAGATGAAAAGATGAGACTCCCAGAAAGGAAAGACAATATCTGATCTTCATATATGACCACCCACTTCAATAAAGGGAAAATTGTGCTAAATGTATTTCCAAGAACAAAATTAAGAAGAAATAAAGATTGACTGTTCCATCCTGTTGAGTTTGTGAGAATGACCTATGGTATTGCTAAAATTGAGGAAAAGGTTCCAAATCCTATGACACATTATGCATAGAATGCATACAAAATAATTTTTTAAATAAAGAAACTGGAAGTAATTACATTGCTATTCAATTCAACTGTTTGCTATTACCAAGTAGAAACCAGGGGCTCATGAGTTAATTTAGTTCAGTTATAGAGAAATAACATATCTTAGCTTCTTGGACTTTTGTAATTGTAAAAGTTTATACCTCAACCCATTTTAGCATAAATTCAGTCTGTTACTTTAAAAAGGTTTTAACTCGAATTTTAGAAGGAGAGGCTTGCTATCCTCTTAAAGGAATTTCTATCAGCAGTCCAGGTCTTGGAACAATGTTTCTAAGAGGTGTAGCGGTGGGCATTGTAGCTGTCACCCTCACAGCTACTGCATCTTCCTTCATGGTGAAGCAGCCATCGCATCATCAGGGTAATTCCACTACCATTGTTTCAGGGGTTAGTTTAGGAGAACTGATCAGCCTTGTGATCTTTCGTTGGCCAGAGGGTTGGAATATGGGTGATCCAGGCAGCCTCTAGGGCAATCTCCTCTTCAGGAGTCATGGGACGGCCCGTCCTCTTTCTGGAGATGAACAGGGAAGCTTGGCAGGAGTCTTTGGGTGAACTGACAAAGTGGAGGAAAATGTCACGTGAGTTACTAAATCCAGCCAATGCAGAGTCCACTCCTTTTGGACTTCCCAGCACTGAGCTCATAGACCCCTTTTATTGCTCAGCTCAGTTTGAATGAGGTCAAACACCCCTGACATGTTACATAGGTAGAAAAAGAGGTGAGTTTAGTTCTTACATCTCAATGTATGACTAAGGTGGATCTTACAATAGCTTGGAGTCCCTGGGTTGTATAAATGGTTAGCACACTAATTGACAAACAAAAGTTCAGAGGGTTGGATCCACCCAGAGACATCTTGGAAGAAGAACCTGGCATCTACTTCCAAAATATCTGCCATTGAAAACCCCGTGGGGCTCTGGTTTACTCCGGGACACACTCAGGCCACCATCAGCTGCGCTGACTCACAAGCAGCTCCTCATCAAAACTACTTCCTGGTTCACCAAAGTTATCACATTATAATCTCTCTCTCTCTCTCTCTCTCTCTCTCTCTCTCTCTCTCTCTCTCAGGGTCTTGATAAGAAAACCCAATAAAGGAACAAAAGCAAGATCTATATGAAGTGAAAATGTCCAGTGTTTCTCTTAGTTTTCACATTTCTCATTTATCCTCCTCCAACGATAATGTGACAGTTCTCCTAGCGATCTCTGCCCTGTGGCTCTATTTTCTGTTTCCTTCCTCTCCTTCCCCCTCTATTATTGCTCAAGGAGAGGTAGGAAGACCAGGAAGTGGAGGAGGAGGCAGGGGAGCAGCCTGAGGAGGAGGGGGAGGAGGAGGGAAGGAAGAAGAGAGAAATAAGAGGAAGGCAGGGAGGCCGGCAACCAGGGGTTGGCAAGAACACCCTGCTTCAGGTCAGGTGAGTGGCACATTCCTTATTAGCTCTTACATAAAACCAAGAATGTGTGCTCCCATTGTTCAGCGTTCCTGAGAACAAATTCCAGTGCCTGCTTCTGACCAGGGGCTGCAAGCAGCGGAACATAATGCAAGGGGATTGTTGGATCTGTTTTGGATAGCAGGGCGGGCGGCGAAATGATTATTAGATTTCACTCACCTCGTTGCTCTCTAACGACCACTCCTGAACTCTCAGGGTAACCTTCCAGACCAGAGTTTGGAACAACCCAGTGACTAGAACACTTATCGAAGTGCAAACATTTACTTTACAATCTGGCAGTTAAAAATAAGCTGCCAGAGGCACCAAGTGCGTCAGGGAAGGCTGTGTCCTGCTTGGTGTACGGTGTCCCCGAGACTCCCTCCTGGAGGCCTCCTTGCTCACCTTCTTTTATTTCCTTCCTGGGGTTGCAACTTGGCGGTGTTCAAAGAGGACACTGTCTTAGGGGTCGTATTTGCAAGGTCTGGTCCTTTCCCATTTACTCTGTGCCTCTTGGAACTCAAAACCCTCCAAACCTCCCTGCCATCCAGTCCACTGCAATTCACAGTGACCCTCTAGGACTGAGTAGAACTGTCCCTGTGCCTCCCCAACGCTGTACATCTTCATGGGCCTCTCTCCTGTGGAGGGGCCAGTGGGTTTGAACTGCTAACCTTGTAGTCAACAGCACAATGCATAGCCCTCTATGCCACGAGGGCTCCTTTGCAACTTGGAAGAGGAGGCAAGTTGTACACGGGCTAGTGCATAAGGGGCAGTGCCGTTGAACTGAGTAGCATTTATATTTTCTGTCCAGAGGCATGTACAGTCAAGAAAAGAGCTGTGATTCCCAAGGCTTGGCTTTAGCTCACAAATCTCTCTCTGAGGTCAGGAAGAACTCTGTGTGTCCTAGTCCAGGCTGCTCATTTCTAGAGACTTCACCATGGGATAAGGTTCAGGGAATGGCAGTGACCATGAGAAGGAGGCAGCAGATTATTTTCAGATGTTGAATATGGGTGGAGGTGGGGGGGCGGGTATTGCCCATGCTGAATAAGGAAAGAAATTTTAGTGCTACATCCTGCTATTGTTAAGCTGCCATTGATCGCCACACCTTTTGTACGACAGAACAAAACGTTGTCCAGCCCTGCATCAACTTAATTTTGTTGGTAGGTGTGGTAGTTACATAATTTCATGTCAACTGGTGCCTCCTTGTGGGTGTGGCCTCTCATAAGGAGGGCCCTGGGGACGTACGTCCCCCTTGCTCTCTGCTTTCACCTTCCTGCTGGCGGACTTGATTGCTGCCAGAGCTACCACCACTGGATCCACAAGACTCTGCACTCACCAGCCTGTGATCTTCCTGCAATCTGCATCATCGCATGTGACTACGTGAGTCTGAAGAGGGACTCTTGGACTAGTATTGGACTGATGAACTTGAGTTGGACCGGGCGGGCACAGTTTCAAGATCCATAATTACGTCTCGATCTAAAACTCTTTCTTATACATATATGAGTGTTCCTGGATTCGTTTCTCTGATCAGCACGACCTAACACAGGTTTACCTGTATTGTTGTGGCTATAACAATGCCTTCCAACATAAGAGGCTCATCTTCCAACACTCTATGGGAAAATATTCTGTTCTGATCCCAAAGGTTTTCAGTGACTAATTTTTGGAAGCAGATCGCCTGTCTTTTCTTCACAATCAGTCTTAGTCTGGAAGTTCCACTGAACCCGATCCACCCTGGATAAGCCAGTTAGTATCTGAAATGTCAGTGACCTGTTTTTGGCATCATAAGTCACCACATGCAAGCCACCATAGCGAGATGAACTTACAGACGGATGATGCAACCACTTGCTGGTAGAGCTAAATTGGGATAGGTTCTGGAAATAATCACATTTAAAAACTCTACTGAAAGAGCTCTTAAAAAAAAATCCAATCAGAACATGGGCAAAATTTATGAAGAGACAACCAGCCAAGGAAGATATAAACCCAAACTAAATTCATTGCTGTGGGGTCCATTCTGATTGATAGCAACCATACCGGGCATGATAGAGCTGCCATCGTGTGTTCCCTGAACTGTAATTCTGTATGGGAGAAGAGAGCCTCAGCTTTCTCCCTCAGAGTGGCTGGTGGTTTCGAACAGCCAACCTTCCCTGTTAACAGCCCAATGCACATACCACTAAACACATGAAAGGACATCCAACTTAACCAGTCATTCAAGAAATGAAAATTAAGGCTGTGAGAAGATCTCACTACACATTTATCAGGATGGCTAAGAGAGTTAAATAGTGATGCTACTAGATGCTGGAGAAATGGGATCGCTCATGCACTGACGATAGAATGTAAAATGGCACAGTTATCGCAGACAATAATCTCACAGTTTCTTATGAAACTAAGCACTCAATGACTACATGACCCAACAACGGGACTCTTGGCTATCCCCAACAAATAAAGACTTACATGCACAAAAACACCTGTCCACGACTGTCTCTAACAGCTTCCATTGATAATAGCCCCAAAAGGGAAGCAAGCAAAATGCCCTTTAATAAACAGGCCAGCCCTTAAACTAACTGGCACCTTCTTGCCATGGGACGCTACTCAAGAATGAACTATTGGTACACTAAATTTGGATAGATGACATTACACTGAGTACAGTCACTCACAAGAGATCATACACCAAACGATTCCTTTTATGAAACTATCAAAATGACAAAATAGAGAGACGGAAAGCAGCTCCGTGGTTATCAGAGCGTAGAGATCGGGAGGGTGAGCACAGGTTTGACAGGTGCAGCAAGGGGAGATATTTAGGGTGCTGAAATAGTCCTGCATCTTGATTGTACTGGTGGCCATACAAGTATGTGATGAAAGGACATGGAACTACACACACACGTTGTATGTTGGTTCTGAAGTTATCCTATAATTACGTGAGATGGAACCACTGGGGGAAACTGAGTCGAAGGTACTGAACTACTTTTGCAACTTCCAGTAAATCTATAGTTATTTCTAAAAAGTCTTTTTTAGACTCTACTGAGGATCACTGGACCTAAGCCAGATATCGCCCACGCCTGTGGTTTTGACTGCCCCGCATCTATTCATTTACCACCTCCTGCTAACAGACCCGCTTCTTTCTACTCTTGTCCCAGCGAGTCCAGGAAATTGGAATGGGCCCAGACCTAAGCAGTCAGCACACCATTCTCCGATCATGCTGTCTAGACTGGATCTTTTCTGAAATGCTTGGACAGAGATGACGGCTCTTTTGTGGTGGCTTCTCATCTGGAGGGATGGAGGCCTGGAAAGCGCACGGCAGTGCCGGAAGGGTAGCATCAAGCAAGCAGCAGGGAGACTGTAGACTGAAAGATACTAGCCCCAGAGGCAAGCCCTGTGGCTCAGGCCCTGCCCCTTGCCAGGCCTCTCTTTGGCCTGTTTTGTTTGTGAGTCAGTACACCTCCTTTCTCCTTTTTCATGAGCCTGAATCAACTTGAGTTGATTTCCTAACTGAGATGCCCCCGACAGACCAAAATCTCCATGTCTCTCCCTACAGGGATCTAGGTATAAGGCCTGTGGTTTCTTCCCTGCTCACAATGCGGTGCGAAAACAGTGGAAAGACTCCTGTGATCCAGAGGCACCAGCTCTGCCCCTGGGCAGCCTGAGATCTAGGCCTTAGGTGAATACTAGCTTTCTGAAGTCCCTTTCATCATATTCCAAATGGGAATAATAACCACCATATCTACCCACAAGAAATTTTAAAAAACCAACCGAACCCCCGTTTTCCAGTTGGTTCTGACTCAATAGCAACCCTACAGGACAGGGTAGAATTGTTCCTTAGGATAACCAAGAGTGCTAATCGCTACAAAAACATATGACCTCATCTTTCTTCCAAGGAGATGCTGGTGGATTTGAACCACTGGCCTTGAGGTGAACAATCCAACACTTAACCCACAGAGCCACACAGCAGGTTAGGAGGGACAGTCAGACAAAGACTATAGAAGCATGTTCCAGATAAAACGCAGCTACAAGCGTGCAATGTGAATGGTGATGATCTTGCATACCTCCTGCTACATGCAGGCCATCACCTTATTTACTCATGTAAATAATGCTCCCTCCACAGTGATTTCACACCTGTGTTCAGTCAACCAAACCAAACCAAACCTGAGAAGTAATCGGACAGCTCTCATTACCTCACTCTTTTTCCCTGGTTCTACTTCCTGTGACCTCTAGCCAGCTAGCTAGCTTTTTCTACCATCTTGCCCTGTTTAGTTATCTTTCTGCTTGATGATGATGATTTTTTAGAAATAATTTTATTAAGGGCTCTTACAGCTCTTATAACAATCCATATATCAATTGTCACAAGTGCATGTGTACATATGTTGCCATCATCCTTTTTAAAACATTTTCTTTCTACTTCAGCCCTTGGTATCAGCTCCTAGTTTTTTCCCTCCCACCCTCATGAACTCTTGATAAATTATAAATTATTTCTTCCCCAACAGCAGACAGTGTAAGATATGAAAATAATAGTAATTTATAAATTATCAAAGAGTCACCAGGGTCGGGGGGGCGGGGAGGGGGGGGAGGAAGGGGAAAAAGAAGAGCTGATACTAAGGGCTCAGTAGAAATTAAATGTCTAGAAAATAATGATGGCAACATATGTACAAATGCACTTGATATAATTGATGTATGGATTGTTATAAGAGCTTTAAGAGTCCCCCAAAATGATCTTTTAATTAAAAAATGATAAATTATTATATTTCACATCTATACTGTCTGCTGTCTCCCTTCACCCATGTTTCTGTTGTTCATCCCCCGGGGGTGGGGTCTGTCGGTCATTGCAATTGGGTCCCCTTTCTCCCCCTCCCTCTCACCTTCCCTCTGCCCTCCTGGTATCGCTACTCCCATTACTGGTCCTGAGGGTTTATCTGTCCTGGATTTTGTGTGTCCAGAGCTCTTATGTGTGCCAGTGTACATGCTCCAGTCTAGCCATATCTTTCTGCTTTTTATTG